ACTTTACCGAGCGTGATGTCCTTCCCCAGGGGCTCACCTCTCCCGGCAACAGGTCCCACATCAGTTAGTGTGGCCATCCTGACTGCTGAGGAGCACTCTGACCCGTGCTTCTCCATGGCAGACCTGTGTTCCCTGGGCAGTCTGTGGCAGTCGGAGTTCCCTGGGCAGTCTGTGGCGGACCTCTGTTCCCTGGGCAGTCTGTGGCAGACCTGTGTTCCCTGGGCAGTCGGAGTTCCCTGGGCAGTCTGTGGCAGACCTGTGTTCCCTGGGCAGTCGGAGTTCCCTGGGCAGCCTGGCAGGCTCAAGCGATCTCATCCGTGCCAGTGGTTCCAGTGTAGGCCAATGCCTCTGGCCCGACTGTGCTTGCTGTTTGCAGACCCTCCAAGGGCAGACAAGGGAGGGTAGGGAAGACACAGACCCTTCGCGGGCTGACGGGCACCCCTCTCCTGCCCACCAGGACCTTCTCTGGGCTGGTTCCCCATATCCTTTGTTCCTGACCCCCGACTCCTACCCCCCAGGGTGTCCTCGCCACCTTTGCCTCGGGCCCTGGTGACCTCAGTTGATCTGTGGGCCGGCTGGAGCCCAAGAGCCTCCCAGATGTCTCCTTGGCTCTCTTGGGGCGAGCTGTCCTTTGTCTCGCTGGGTCCTCCTGCCAGGGGCCAGGTTTGGTGTCCCTCCTGGGCTCTGGAGGGGTGACGACTGTGGTCTGGGTGGGGCGGGACACTGGGGCTGGCTGGCGCCTGGGTCTTTGTTCCCCTGTTTCCTGGATTTGGTCGGTGAGGTGGCCCAGGCACAGATGGGTGTCCCATGGCTGCCCTTGTGGGGCCTTCCTGCCTGGACATGGGGTGTTTCCTCCTGGGCACTACACGGGGAGTGCTTCAGCTCAGTCTTCCCAGGACCATTGGGGGGGTCATGGTGCGCTGGGCACAGGGCGTGGCCTGTGGGGAGGGGCCCGGCTTCTGGGTGTCTGCTGGGTATTTAAGGGGACGGTATGTCTTGCGCCCTCCCTTCCCAGCGGCTCTGACTGTCCCCTTCATGCCAGGCTGGTGCTGTGCCCCGTGTCCCTGGCTGCTGCCTGTCAGGCATTTCTTCTGTGGTTCTGTTGGGGGGGGGGTACCTAAAGCACCACCCGGTAGACTTGTGGAGGAGCCGTGACCACCACTTAGGGGCGGGGGCCTGGAGAGCCGAGGGCACTGCTTCCCCAGGGTGTCACAGGGGCGGGATGCCGTCTGCCCCAGGATGTGACGTGACTCTGAGTTAGGGGCTGTGGCTGTGTCCCCAAACAAACCCACAAAACGCCAACCCTGCACTTGGAGGCCCCGTAGCAGGGGGCTGCCCTGCAGAACTTCCTTCCAAAGCTGCTCACTGCGAGGTCAGTGTGCAGAGGGCGCAGGCAGCTGCCCCTCTGAAGATGGCCCCGGGACCCCTCTGGGGCAGCCCCTCTCCTCCGTCCTGGGCTGTGGGTCAGGCCCTGGCAT